TGGAGAAAAAAAGAACAACCAGGATGACCAACTGTTTTGATAGTATTATAATAGAAAAGTTCATGTTAATGTGTGACAAAGGAAAAGATTACAATCAGAATCAACCCCATTTTCTCTTAAGCCCCATTTTCTGACCATTCGTTCCCTGACATACATCTAAAGAAACTTTTGCTATGTGATATGTCTTATGCCTGAATTCTTCTTTGTGTAATTTTAAGGTTCCTATTTATGCCCGCTGTATGTTAGCGTTCTTATTTGTATTAGCAATTCATTTCAACGGGGGAGAAAATCACCTCTATATTGCCGCATCTCTGTATTTTCTATTTCCTTCTGCCTATCCAAAGACAGGAGCCAAGTCCTCTTGCCAGAGCCCAGCACAGTGTGTGGCACTTTGTGACACAGTGTGTGTCAGGAAGATGAGGAGAATAACACACACATATACACAAAATCATTAAAAATCAGAAAACTCAGGAAAAAAGCATGTTTGTAGGAGAGGGACGCCTGAGAGGCCTCTTTTACTACCTAAAGAAAAATGTTCACCAGTGAGTACAGGCGGTAATCTAAAGAATGATTGACAAGTGCAGACAAAATCTGCCCACTGAATTCCTGTCCAGTTGACCCTTAACATTGAATTTACTCACGTGAAGTCATCCTGGAGCAGCGTGGTAGAGGGTGTGTGAGAAGGTGCACATGCTAGCGCTGGGAGAGAAGTAATTGAGTGCAAGAAAGATGAGAATCAGCAAGATAGAAGAGTCTGATCAGCAAAGCGAGGTGAGAATTCTAGTTATTGTGATCTGCACTGTACATGTTAAAATAATAATTACTTCGTTCTCCAGTATTTGCTAACTTCCCTACTAATTCTTAAATTCTCTAATATTTCTCTAATATTTCCCACCCCCAACAACAACAAATTATCAAACAAGATGAGTTGTTTATATTAGTAAGCACAATTTATTTACAAATCAACACAAGAAACTTTGAAACATCACTATATTCAGACATCACTTTCTAGCTCTGTTTAATTACCACATATGTTAAAAACTGATGACATCCTCTAAATGACAGTTATAAACCACAATTTCTGGACAGAAAGAGCCCCATGAAAACTTTACTCAGCCTTTTAGGCAGAGTGTGGCACATGAATTAGTTTTACAATAATTGTGTACACAGTATGTTTGGCCATTATTTAATCAAAAATTTCATGTAGTATTTTTTTTTTTTAATGACCAGTAAAGGGATCCTAACCCTTGACTTGGCACTGTCAGCACCATGCTCTCCCAGGTAAGCTAACCAGCCATCCCTATATGGGGATCTGAACCCATGGCCTTGGTGCCATCAGCACCACACTCTCCCACGTGAGCCACGGGCCGGCCCCAGGTAGTGTCTTTTTAAATGTACATGCTGAGACAGACCTGGCTATGCCTTTTCCTTAAGAGGGATCTGACATTTCTGAAGGAACAAACACTGTAGACAGAACTTTACTGCAGGAACTACATAAAGTTCAGACGGCCCAGGATAATTTCCATATAAAACTACAATTAGCTGAAATAATTGGGAAAGACCCTTTAACATATAGCTTTTCTTCATTTCATTGTGTCTTAATAAGCAGAACTTCAGTACTGTAAATGCTATTTATATGAATTTCACTCACATATAAGTTATGATTTTTCTAACTACCCACTTCTATGGCTATAAAATTTTTCTTTCCTGAAAATCTGTTCTCTCCCACACCTATTCTGCTTGTCCCTTTGTTTCCCAGAGCCTATATTTCTTCTTTAAGCTGATTTATTTTCCTTTGAGAACAATTACTGGGAAGCCAGCTTCAGAAAGGGACTGGAAATGTTTTTCCTGTATTTTGAAAGAAAAAATTTTCCGTAGAAATATCTGTTCAATTATAGAACAGAAATTAATAGGAAATTAGAGTATGGTAGACAGAGCTTTGCTTGAAAGCCTCTATTCTATGACACGTGGAATCCTGCGCTGGTGCCATGCAGGTGTCACAAGGCAATGAGGACACAGTCACATGAGTTTTCCAGCTACCTGCTAGGTGAGGAGCATCCATGCTACAGCTTGCTACGGCTTTTACTCTTCTGATGCCTGTGGGCCTGCAGGAGCATCCTGAAAGCACTGCAGCCCAGCCTCACTTTGCAGACATTCCTTCTCCCCTTCCACAGAATCTTTAGGATTGGAATCCTCTTGGCAAACGCTTGTTTCAGCCTCTGGTTGTTCTTCATTAACACAATTAGAATTGACATTGAGTTTGCCATCTGATAAAAAGAAAACAAAATTGTCATTTTGTTCCTACCATCTATCAGATACTCTTCTAAATGCTTTACATGTATTAATTTATTTAATCCTCATAGGAACTACAGGTTGATTATCATCTGTTATCATTCCTATCAATACTTTACAAATGTGGAAACTGGAAAGAGAGGAGTTTGGCAATTTACTCCAAATTTACCAAGGAGCAGAAGCAGTTTTGGATCTGAGGCCTCTAAATCAGGATTGTTGTTTGGAATGTGACAAAAGCTGCATTTGAATGTAGCTTTCCTATTAATTAGCTTGATGTCCTTGAGTAGGTAATTGCCTGTTGTTTCCTTATCTGTAAAATGGGGGTAATAAAGCCTATCCATCATTCTGTGAAGAATAAAGGTGTCTGTAACACTTAGAATAGTGTGTGGCACATGGCTGAGGCTTAACACGTGGGCGTTCCCATTCTACTGACAATCCTATTCTCTCAGTTCCCATTCTACTGATGATTTGGTAGCACATGAACAGCTGGATTCTCTGTCCTCAGCACATCGGAAAATAAGTTTGGTCCAGAAAACAGGAGAAAGCATGGCAGCCAGAAAACCTGACTACACTCTTCACTATAAATGGTTTAATTTTGTATAAATCATTCAATCCCACCACAAGTGTTTCTCAGCCAAGTGGTAAAGGGTCATGGTTGCTTGAAGGGTGGAGGAGGAATGCCTAGTGTCAGAGTCACCTAGGCAACTTTTACAAACTACTTACACTTCCCCAGAATATGTGATCTATTCTCCAGGGTGGGGAGTGAAGGTGGGGGCCTAATATGAGAATCATTGCTGAAGCAACTCACTGGTTTTGATGAGTCACATAACTTCATGAGGGATAGAGAGAAAAATAATAGGAAACTCACTGCTCTGACATTTGTGGAAATTTAATCTGTATATTACATCTATAAATTAATCTGTAATTTATAAATACACTGTAATTTCACCTGCAGTTTTGAAATTTAATTAAGAAATTTTGAGGCTTCCAACCTTAAAATCTTCTCATGGCCATTAGGGGAAATTTAATTATTTCCTTAATTAAAGACCTTACAATGTTTCATGAACAAAGTGTAAGTGAAATGGGACTAGAGTTGTTCCAGGGCAGTGTCCTGAGTCAGAATGCAGAATGTGGAATAAACTACGTTCCTCAGGATTCTGTCTCCTTGTTTTCCATGACGTCTAGGCTGACTATATCCTGTGCATTATCCCAAGGACTCCAAAAAGAGACACGTTTGAGTTGAAGTGTGATCCTTGTGTCGGTCCCACTTCCTTGGTCCCCAGAGAAGACTCAGTTCCAGTGCGCCCCGTGTTCATATCATCTATCACTGCTTTCCCTGCTAGGAAGCTTGAAGTGTGATCCTTGTGTCGGTCCCACTTCCTTGGTCCCCAGAGAAGACTCAGTTCCAGTGTGCCCCGTGTTCATATCATCTATCACTGCTTTCCCTGCTAGGAAGCTGAATGAGCTCAGGTTTTATATACATACTGCTCTCCTCTTGCCTCTTTTCTTTGGCAGCCTCCAGTTGTTGCTTTTCATAAATGTCCTTCAGATTCTTACAGATTTTCTTATGTGCAAACCAGTGTATCTTCTGGCAACTTTGATCGCAATATATTACCTGAAAGCAATTGCAGGTTTATTTTCATTTCAAGAGCTGTGATTGCATGATTTCCCAACTATGACATTAAACCAAGAACTACACTATAAAAATGTTATATTTTCCATACTTTATTTTAAAACCACGATGTGTGGGTGTATATTGATGTAGATTTGTACTTGTTAGCTTGCACTTTAAGACAATAATGGAGATATAACAGTCTACCGAAGACTCTAACAAATGGCTACAAAGAACCTACTATGTGCCAGAACTGGTACAGTACAATCACAAAGAAGACAGTTGTCCCAGAGGAAGCCAGGGTTGGGAAAGAGCAGGATGAAGCAGAACGGAGGGGGACAGACACCTCACAACGTGATTCACAACACAGTTAACAGTGATGGGAGCACAGAGGAGGCACTAACTCACTCTAGCCAGGGGGAGTCAGGATGGACAGAGACATGGGAAAGAAGCATTCCAAGTGGAGGGAATATCTTGTATAAAAATGTAGGAACATGGAAGTGAATGACATGTTCAAGGACAGCAAGTTTTTAAAAATGAGCTCATATTTTTGTAAGTGGGAGCTGTAAAGAGATGGGAATGAACCTTATTAAACAGTTATTATATACCAAGCACTGTGCTAGATGTTACACATGGGTGGTGTTATAGACTATATTATTGGCCCCAATTCTTCCCTCATTCCTGCATTCATACGCTTTCCCGTGTGATATTAAAGTTCTTTGCACTGAAGAGGAGATTCGAGTTTAGATTTGGCCATGTGACTTATTTGAGCCAACGACATGAGACAGTGTGGCAATTTTGAGGCCAGGCCTCAAGAGACCTTGTGTTTCTATTGCCCATGTGTACCTCTGCCACTGCCAGGAGAACATGCTCAGCCCAGCTTGCTGGTCCAAGGAGGATGAAAGATACGTGGAGCACAACTGCCCCAGCTGAGGCCAGCCGACCACAATGTGGGAGAAAGAATGAATGATTGTGGTTGTTTGTTTGTTTGTTTAAGATGACCGGTAAGGGGATCTTAATCCTTGACTTGATGTTGTCAGCACCACGTTCTCCCAAGTGAACTAACCGGCCATCCCTATATAGGGATCCGAACCTGTGGCTTTAGTGTTACTAGCACCACACCCTCCCAAGTGAGCCACGGGCCAGCCTAATGATTGTTGTTTTAAGCACTGAGTTTTAGAGTGTTTTTAGATGCAGCAATAGTTAACCAGTGTAGGTAGTCTCATTTAATTCTCATAACTCTAGCCCCTTTTCACATGTAAGGAAACAGAGGTTCGGAGAGATAAGTAATTAAAAGAGACAAAACTGGAGAAGTAGGTTATAGCAGATTGTCACGGGTTTCATACGATACACTGAAGAATTTCAACCTCAAAGTCAACAGGAAATTAACGTCACCTATGGGGTTAAGTTATCATGCATGTGTGCAATATCTGGTTGTGAGAAGAACATGATCGGATATGTTCATTACGAAGATAATTCTGGCAGAAGCAGGCAGTATAGCCCATAGGGATTAAAGATTGGTGACAGCCAGGAGGAAGTTGTAGTTATAGAAGAAAGAGTTGATGAAGAGATTAAAAACAACATCAGAAGAGTTACATTTGATAATTACGAAGTGTCCCATTCTAGGTGTTCATATCCACACCAACCTCAGTCCCCTTGCTCTACAGATAATTTTTTTCTTATTTTTTCATATTCACTTATTCATATCCTTTCTTTCTGTAGAGTGGTCATGATAGAAGCTGAGGAAGACTGGCCGTTTGGCAGAAGATAGACAGGGCACAGAACTACATTGACTCTATAGCTCTCTTCCAAAACTACTTTTTAAATAGATAGAATACTTTCATGTACTAGAATTTACTAGAAAATTAATGTCAATAGCTATATTTATAGACTATTAAAACTCAATCATCAGCTTGGCTGAAATCTAAAGTAGAAGTCAATGAACTTAAAAGAACCCCGTTCTTACCATTTTGCATACTGAGCATCTTTTACTTGCTCCCTTTTCTCCACAGGTTGTGCAAAATTCAACATCCACAAAACCCACCTGACCAGTGATGGCTTGGGTAAGCACAGAGAATGCAGTGGGATCAGAACCCTAGAGTGGGCATGAAGAGAAAAAAACCCTCTGAAATCATCATGGAAAAATGACAGAGATGTCACCCCATGAACAATGTTGTATCACAATGTGGACCCACAAGGGAAGAAATCATTCAGGATAGGGATTACACAGACTTTATGACAAAATGACAGATATCCTTTTGCGTATACCTTTTTCTATGCAAAGCATACAGGAAGTAAGTCATGGATCTCAGTAACTACAGAGAAAATAATGGCCCTATCCTAGAATAAAAGTATTTTTCAATTAGGTTTATTCAGTAAGCCCACAGGGATTTTGGATATAGAACAATGAACTCAGAATTTTCTTCTGAGAATTGACATTAAGACAATATTCATATCCTGTGGGACAATTATAGAGCACACCACAAATGTTTAACTACCTAATTCTTAAAAGTTTGGTGTGATTTAAATATTTTAAAGACTATATGTTTTAATTGTTCATTTGATGTTGGTCTACAATTCAAATAGTTAAATTATCACTTTTATGATCCTAATGTTTCAAACTCTTTAATAAACATAGACCAATTGCATCAGAGTATTAAGAAAAACAAAAAGTACGAAAATTATTACAGGGCTATGGAAAATTAGAATGAGTTGTTAAAGATAATTTATAAATTCTGGGGGAGGAAATTATGAGTAAATATTTAACTGTGTCTGAAATGATGCTATTAAAACCTATCCAGCATAAGCAAAAATAATTCCAGGGTATCTATTTTCTTATCTATTTTTAAGTTTCTTGTTCTGAGTTTTTCAAATTTGCTCATATATTCCCAACCAAAATTTTTGCCACATGTCATTATTCCCATTTTTGAGCTTTTGTTTTTTCTTTCTAAGAATATCTGTTTTTCTATTATATTACCAATTATACATAAAAGATTTTAAAAAGTATCACCTGGGAACAAAGTTCTACATTGTTCTGCATACTCGAGATAGTCAAAATATTAAAATATTCAAGAATTATTTAAAAAGTAGCACTATTAAAACTGTCATGTTCCTCCTGTACACAAATAATAATGACTGAATTTGCTTTCCTGTAAAAGTGCTAAGAATTCAATTTTGGAATGAAAATAGTACAGTGGTGAGATAAAACCAGGTGAAATGAATCCTCAGATATTAGATAATTAAATTAATAATTTCAATAGGAATGAAGGTCTATAGTAGTTGTGCCCAAATGCTGGAGTGCATCAGAGAACTTATTAAAAGTTCAGATCCATCCCACTACCTCATACCTTAGAATTTCCAAGTGTGTAGTCCAGGTACCTGCATTATTACCAACATCCCCAGGTAATTCTAAAACGTACTAAAAGTCTGAGAATTACTGGTACTTAATATTACACTGAATGCTTATAAATCTACATAATTATTTTACCTCAAAAGTAGAGTACTGCATCAGATAACAGTCTGGTCCACAAATCAACAGAGTATGATATATTCAACACTGGTATATTCAGCAATGATATACTCCAACCATTACATTTTCATGTACAAACATTTCTTCACAAAACTGCCTGACGCATGTTCAAAATCTCCCCCAAAATGGGACATTTGTGGAAGTCAAACCACATACTAACATTCTCACAGATGTAAACTGAAGGTAAAACTAAAGGATATTTTGCTAGGAGAATGGTTGTTCATGTGCACTATTGCTTCAGAAAAAAATTAACGATGGTACAAATGAGTAATTACGTGGAATCTTTCTTGTAGTTGTTGTGTGACAAGAACTTCCTCATTATACAAAATCCTGTCATCTACTTTGTTAAATAGAAAAAAATTAACGATGGTACAAATGAGTAATTACGTGGAATCTTTCTTGTAGTTGTTGTGCGACAAGAACTTCCTCATTATACAAAATCCTGTCATCTACTTTGTTAAAAAAGAATCTCTTTAGATACCAGAGCTCCTCCTATGGAAAGATATTCAGCCTAAAAATAAACAGGATGCTTTATTCAATGTGTGCTATAAAATCAGAGACGTTAGTTAACCTTCTACAAATTAAAATACACACTGTCAATGGATAAAGCAAAATACCTTTAATAGTGTAATTTGCTATAATGCTGGAGCAATATTTCTTAGACTTAGCCATGCCTCACACTTCCTGCTGAGTTTTGTGACAGGCGGAAGCCAGAGTCCCATGCTAGGCAGAGGGAATGGAAACATGAATAGGAAGCCCCAGACATGAGCACTGTCAGAAAGCAACATGGAGGGCCGGCCCGGTGGCGCACTGCTACAGTGTGCCGCTTGGGAGCGCAGCGGCGCTCCTGCCGAGGGTTTGGATCCCACATACAGACCGGTTCCCGCTCACTGGCTGAGCGAGGTGTGGGCGCAGCACCGAGGGTTGCGATCCCGTTGCCGGTCCCGGTC